TAGGTCATCATGTCAGTATGATGTCAGGTTACGAGAGCAAGTTTTTTAGACATCCTTAATTCAGAACTTAAGACAGCTTTTACAGTCCCAGATTCATGCACTCGCAATAACAACGTTACCAGATTTCATCGTGAATAGAATCAAAAGCACTCCTTACGACTGATTTTTAACGATTTCTTGATGCTACAAAATATGTAAGCGTTCGATAATTCAGGTTCACCTTGAAAAACTTTGTTACGACGCAGTACCACCCTACACAATTTATACTCGACATGGATACATCATCGAATTTCGAGGCGGTGAAAATGATAAAACTAAGGTTTTTCTTTCAAGTCGCTCACTTCTTACTGCAGAAAGTCTTGTTCAATAAAGCCAAGAAACTGAAATTCACAGGTCGTTATCCAGTATCTAGAATACTTCTAAAATATTATTTTTTTCCACTGGCAAGGCTTCCGATGGTCCTTTTATTCTAAGTTTGCTTGGGCGCAACCTCGTGACGAATTTGACTCCCTGAAATATGTCAGTATGCAACCGCCGAAAGGAATGAACGAATTGTAAAGAGACTGGTTATCTCTAATTCTTTATCGAAAAAATTCTTTTACACAGAGACATCGAACTCTTCATTTGGATGGCTTTATATTCGGTCTCTGAGCAGTCTGGCAATGGTTGCCACTTCTGAAACAGTAGTTTAGTCCAGATGCTTGGATTAAAAAATCCTGTTGTATCTGGAAATACGGACTTTTCCAACTCAGCTGTGCACATCACAGTTCGAAAACATCTCCACATTTAGTCCTATCTGTAAGGTGTGGGCAGTCAGCAATAAAGGACAAAGAAATATATGGTAAAAAGTAGCTTTGACCGATGTAATTATCTGTTCAGCAATTAGCTGCTATAAACACTTAAAAATTATTCAGCACATCTGCCATGGAGTAACAAGATTTTCCTGAATTTGGATTAAAATGAGCCATAATGAGAACAAGGATTTCTGCTTTTTTTTGCATGATCAAACAACCTTTCGAACGAGCTCTGGACAAGTGGTGTACGTACAGCGAGCAAACAGTTGGTAATAATTAAAAATGTGCAACACAGGATCGAGGGTTCTAGCAACAGTTGCACTCAGCGTTTGGGATTTTATCAGCAACATCACTAACGTAGGATACTCAAACTACCATTTTCCTGAACGGTCTTAGTACCTATGCATGTATTTGCATAAATAGTCTTAATTTTTCCTTGCCTGTATTTATGTATTGCTACTTTATAAATTTTTTTTTACGCTATTTTAACCTACTTACATCTACTTATACATAAATACTTGCGTAGACGTATGCCTAAATACATGTTATGTGTACACGTATATATCTACTAAAACATAACAAACTTATAAACGAAGCTTAGAACTTGGATCTGGAAGAAATTTTTTCAGTTTATGGAACGACCAAGCCTTGTTGAACGTTTGGCTAAGCTTTCAGCTAATTCAGTTGGGCCTTCGTTAGGCTGGAGCCCCTCTTCATCAGTTGGTTAGGATTGCTGCTAGTAGTCTAATTGGCGCAGATGATTCGGGACAGGACCAGAAACGTCTTCCCTCAGATGAGCCGTCGTTAAAAAGAAAACTTCAGATGTCAATTTCCAGGCTCGCGGTTTCCATATATCATTCAAATTCGTGCCCGAACAGATGTCTGAGAGAATTGGCAACGATGTCAGTGGCGGCAGGCTAAACAGCGAAGCTTTCCAAGATCTCTCTTTCTCATCGTCTTCTTCTGCCGGCAACGATGCTCTGGCCAGCCAAATAAGACCAAGTGAATTCTTACTTCACTTCTTCGTTTTCATCCTCTTCACTTTGTGTTTGCGCGTTTGAGTTCCTTTCTGTCTGTTTGCCCGCAGCATTTATTTCCTACTAGGCCTCTATCTGCATCTGTGTCATCATTTCCCTGGGTCCCGTAAAAGCTGCTTGTTTGTTGTGCAAGCAAACGATGGCTAGAACACTGCAGAAGTGCACTTGGCTGCTATTATTTTTTGTCAAAGCAAGTACAAACAACGGTCAGTTCGGTTTTT